CGATCCTTCTCATCTTCGAACTCGACCGAGATATTGTAAAGACTGAACTGTGTAGAAAATTTCATCGTGATCGGACTCTCCTTTCGAAAGTTATCGTGTAAACGGCCGGCCGGACGGCCGGACGGACGGCCGGACATACTGACCGATTCTAGAGTGTACTCACTTTTTGAGTACACAATGATACAACTTGTTCAATAACTTCAACAATTAACATTAGAATTGTAGCTTATGATGCATTTTTATGTTAAATATGTTAATGAAATGTTACAGGTGGTCAACAACTTCAACAAACTTCCATAAGAAAATGTGGCTCAACAATCTCACATTAAACAATAACAACATTATTGTTAAATAATTCTAAAAATCATATATTAACTAACGTTCTTATGATGGTCTTCTCATAACCGAAAATTCAACATTTGAAAAAATTTCAAAAATTAGTTATTACATATTTTTGTTTTCTTCTAATGTATTTCTATTTCATTTTCACTCGTTTATAGCTCTTGACATCTATTTGTCTTTACAGCTATTGGGAAAGAAAAAGTTCAACTTGAAATAAATCAATGGTTGATTTATATACACATTTTTCTTTCATTGCTATACATTTAAAATAATTTGTATTATTAAGTGAGAAAAGATTCTTTCTAGTAGCACTTTTGAAGGTAGGAAGTAACTACCAGTTCTTTTCATATTTATAATTATGGCGAGTTAACCCTTTCTGGCCCACCGTACAAAATATTGTACGGTTTTTTCACGTTCCGTAATTTTTAAATAACTCGCGAATGCAAAAAGATATCGAGAAGCGGTTTTCTCTATTATATAAAGGAGGCTTTAGTGCATTGCCTATAATAAGCTCATTCATGGGACAAACATGATCAATATTCGGAAGTCATCATATCCTATTTTAGACTATTTTCGAGTTTTTCAGTAGAATGCTGAAAATAGTTCTAAGCAGTTGAATTATGTACCAATCATGTAATAGATAAATGTAGTAGAACAGAATGAGTATGCTAAGTGACCAATGGCCATAATCTATATCATATACCACACGGACATGTGCGACATCTATTTTAGTTTTTAACGCTTATCATCGTTGACCTGCCAAAGTTTATTTTATAACTCTACGTTTTAATTTTTCTCGCAGTTTCATTAGACGTTTATCTTCTACTTCAAATCATATACTTGAATTATTATTGTGCCGGCGAAAATCGTTTAGTGTTACTGCCTAGTCTAAATCGCCTATTCTTGTTTCATTTTCTCGATTTTTCTACTACTTAACTATCTATATCCATAATACAATAAAAGGGAGTGATGAGTGATTCAAGTGAAGATGATTCTGATACTGAAAGTAGTATGTCTTGAAATGTTGAAGATTGAACTGATAGCTCCGAAGAGATCGACAACTCAACTGAAGGGAGTGATAGCTCATCTGAAGGGAGTGATAGCTCGTCTGAAGGGAGTGATAGTTCATCTGAAGGGAGCGATAGCTCATCTGATGATGAGAACAGTGAAAATACTTGGAATTGGAATTACAATACTCCAAAGAGAAAATTAAAACAATTCAATGATAAATCTAATATATTACACCAAGATGGTTCCAAATTTCGTCCAATTGATGCTTTCATGTTATTATTTACTGAAAAATTGTTCGAACTGATATGTACACAAACAAATATTTATGGACAACAAAATAACAAAAATTGGACTATTATCAATATCTCTGATATCAAAATTTGGATTGCAATCAATATACTCATGGGATACCACAAACTACCATCATACAGAAATTATTGGTCGAAAGATCCGAACTTCAATGTACCGATTGTAAGTGAAGCAATGTCAAGAAATTTGTTTTCAAAAATCCTAAGTAATATTCATTTGGTTGACAATAAAAAAATGCCATCGAAGACATCAAAAAACTACTCGAAAACATACAAAATTGATAACTTTATGCAGATTCTTAAGCACAATTTCCAAAAAAATTATATTTTGGGTGAGTATGTTAGTATTGATGAATCTATGATTAAGTTCAAAGGACGTTCTTCGTTAAAACAGTATTTACCTAAGAAGCTAATCAAACGAGGATTTAAAGTGTGGACATTAGCAGATTCGAAAAATGGATATGTTTACGACTTTGAAATCTATAAAGGGAAAGATAGCGAAAGAGATGGTACTTTAGGTGAATATGTAGTAAAAAGATTCGTTGTTGATCTTGAATTTTCATATAGAAAAGTTTATTTTGACAACTACTTTACATCTCCTATTTTGATCGATTATTTGTATAAGAAAGGTATTTATGCTGCAGGCACAGTTCGTGCCGACAGAAAATATCTGCCAAAAGAATTTTGTAAATCTACGATCTTGCTGAAACGTGGAGAGTTTGAATACATTGTATCAGATAATGTAGTTTTATATAAATGGATGGATAGGAAGTTAGTTTTCTTGTTATCAAATTTTCACGATCCATGCTCGACTGATATTATTCAAAGAAAAGAAAAAGATGGTGGTAAAACAAATGTACAATGTCCCATATCAATAATCGATTACAATAAATATATGGGTGGTGTCGACGGAGCTGATCAAAGAAAAGAAAGTTATTCATTAGATAGAAAATCAAAAAAATTCTGGCTTCGAATATTTTTCAATTTTATGAACGTTGCTCTTTCTAATGCATTTATCATATTTAAAAATCGTACAGATTCAAATATAACATATTTGGACTTTTTATCATCAATAACAACAGCACTGATTGATGAAGAAAAAGTCAAAAAAACGTATATCACCTGCAATCAATTCCAACAGAAAGACAAATAAACTATCAGGAAGAAAAATACAATTTCGTTTGCCAAATAAAAATGAACCACATCTTCCAATTGTTGGTGCTTCAGGAAGATGTGCGTTTTGTAGTACAGACAAAAATCAATATCGAAGTTCTTATCACTGTTCTCATTGCAATAGAGCTTTCTGTATGAATTCTAAGAGAAATTGCTTTTATAAATACCATAAGAACCTTTTGTAATTAATTTTTCGATGTATATTTTGCATATTTTTATACATATTTTTGTCGATAAATTTGTTTCTTCTCTAACTGACCTAGTTCTGAAGATTTTCGAAAAGTTTTGATGGATATATCAATAACTCATGATAGTCATCTTAAATATAAAATCCCAACAGACTCCGTTCACTGGCCCAGCCATGGGCCTGAAAGGGTTAACTACTTTTTTATCCTAACTGCTCTTGTTATTGTAAGTCAAATATTTCGAAGAGGGTGTGGGTGTGGGTGTGGCTATGGGTGTGGGTGTGGGTGTGGTCGTCGGTGTGGGTGTGGGTGTGGGTGTGGGCGTGAGTGTGGGTGTCGGCGTGGGTGTGGGTGTGGGCGCAGCTGTGGATATGCGTGTGGGTGTGGGTCTGAGTGTCGGTGTGGATGTGGGTGAGGCTGTGGGTGTGCGTGTGGGTGTGGGAGTGGGTGTGGGAGTGGGTGTGGGTGTGGGTGTTGGTGCGGTGTGGGTCTCCATCAACAACAGACAAACACCCACACCCACACGTACCCACACTACCCATACCCATCCACACCCATACCCACACGTACCCACACCACCCACACCCATCCACAACCACACCAACACGTACCTACACTACCCACACCCACCCACACTCAAACCCACACATACCCACACTACCCACACCCACCCACACACACACCCCACACCTAACCATCTCACGAAGTAACGATGCAAACAACTCACGAAGTAACGATATAAACAACTCAGGAACTGACGATGTAACAATCTGACGATGTGACAATGTAACCAACTCACGTGGTGACGACGTAATAATCTCACGAAGTAACGATGTTACAGTCTGATGAAGTGACGGTCTAACCATCACTCGAAGTGACGATGTAAGAAACTCACGAACTAACGATGTAACCAACCCACGAAGTGACGATGTAACCATCTGACGATGTGACGATGTAACAATCTGACGATGTGACGATGTAACCAACTCACGAAGTAACGATGTAACAATCTGACGATGTGACGATGTAACCAACTCACGATGTGACGATGTAACCAACTCGCGAAGTAACGATGTAACAATCTGACGATGTGACGATGTAACCAACTGACGAAGTAACGATGTAACAATCTGACGATGTGACGATGTAACCAACTCACGATGTGACGATGTAAGAATCTGACGATGTGACCATGTAACAATCTGACGATGTGACGATGTAACCAACTCATGAAGTGACGATGTAACAATCTGACGATGTGACTATGTTACCATCTCACGAAGTGACGATGTAACCAACTCACGAAGTGACGGTGTAACCAACTCGCGAAGTAACGATGTAACAATCTGACGATGTGACGA